ATATTCCCATGGACCCTCCTGTGCTCCAGTTTGCACCCACTGCCCCTTGTCCTGTCACTGGTCATCACTGCACAAAGCCTGGCTCCGTCCTCCTGACACTGCCCTGAACATGTTTGTAAACATTGACGTCTCCTCTTCTCCAAGCTCAACAGACCCAGCTCCCTCAGCCTTTCCTCATCAGGGAGATGTTCCCCTCCCTCCATCATCTTTGTATTCCCCTCTGCTAGGTCTCAACTATCATAGAATGGGTTGGGTTGGAAGGGACCTTAAAGACCATCCAGTCCCAACCCCTGCATGGGCAGGGACACCTCCCACCAGCCCAGGCTGCTCCAAGCCCCATCCAACCTGCCCTTCAACACTGCCAGGGATGGGGCAGCCACAGCTTCCCTGGGCAACCTGGGCCAGGCTCTCACCACCCTCACACTCCACAGTTCCCTCCTCATGTCTCACCTCAATCTCCCTCTGCCACTTTTCATCCATCCCCCCTTGTCCTCTCCCTCCCTGCCCTTGTCCCAAGTCCCTCCCCAGCTTTCCTGGAGCCCCTTCAGGCACTGGAAGCTGCTCTCAGGTCTCCCTGGAGCCTTCTCTTCTCCAGGCTGAACACCCCAACTCTCCCAGCCTGGCTCCAGAGCAGAGCTGCTCCAGCCCTCCCATCATCTCCGTGGACTCTCTCCAGGAGCTCCATGACCCCCATAAGTTGGGGGCTCCAGAGCTGTTCCCAGCCCTGCAGGGGGGTCTCAGCAGAGCAGAGCAGAGGGGACAATCCCCTCCCTGGATGTCCTGGTGACACAGCCCAGGACATGGGTGGTTTCTGGGCTCCAGTGCATGATGTTGGCTCATGTTGGGCTTCTCATCCATCGTGGGGTTCTTGTTTGGGTGGGTTGTGTTGTTCCCCCTCCCTGGGTGGATGGTTGGACTCAGTGACCTCAGAGGTCTTTTCCAACCGTGAGGATGCTGGGATGCTGGGATTCCTCCTGCACCAGCTGGCACATGGCAAGCAGGGAAACAGCTCCCAGAAATGCATCCCAAAGTCTGGGTGGTTCCATTACCCATCAGTCAGGGAAACCCTCCAAGTGCCAGTAGGGAATGTGGGGCTGAGTCAGTGGTGCCAAGGGCTGGGGAAGCAGCTGATCCGTGTCCTGGTGAGAAGAAACAGGAGCTGGAGCTTTGCAACGGGCCAGTCCAGCTGCAGGACTTTGAGCTCCAGTGTCCCCCAGGGTTTCCTTCAGGCTCACAAGAGGCCGAGCCGGCTGGGAGTGGAGCCTGGGGAATGTCATGGAGCTGAAAGTGGATTTAGGGCCCCTTGCTGCAAAAACCTGCCTTGAAACTGTGGCCTGGTGTCAGGATAGATGGAGCAGCAGCCACCAGGGGGGTTGGCAGAGCCAAACTGGTGGAGAAGCTGCTCTGGAAAGGGGTCGTTGTCCTGCAGCGGGGGGACAATCCCGGTCCCCGGGTCTCATGTCCCCCCTCCAGTAGCCCCAGCAGGACAATCCCACCCTCAGGAATCATCCCCCCCAGCATGGGGACAATCCCACCCTCAGGAATCACACACACACACACACACCCAGCATGGGGACAATCCAGCCCTCAGGAATCATCCCACCCAGCATGGGGACAATCCCACCCTCAGGAATCACACACACACACCTCCCTCCCCCCCGGGGACAATCCAGCCCTCAGGAATCATCCCACCCAGCATGGGGACAATCCCACCCTCAGGAATCACACACACACACCTCCCTCCCCCCCACTCGCGGCCTGGGCCGCAGCGCCGTGACCCGGGACACGTCTCCATGGCAACGCGGCGTTGCCATGACAACGCCCCCGCCGCGCTCAGGCAGCTCCCGGGGCAGCCCCGGTCCGGGGGCCTCGCGGCGCCCCCGCGCATGCGCAGCGGGGGGGACTTTGAGGCGCGATGCTGAGCAAGTTGGTGGGGCCGCGGTATGTGCAGCTGCTGCAGAACTGGTGAGGAAAACGGGGGTGAAAAGCTCCTTCAGCCTTCTCAGGGGGTCTTGGGTGCGCGGAGGGACCGGTCCCGGGGTTCCCGTGTGCGGGGCTGTGTCAGCAGCGGTGGGGGCAGCAGGGCCGGGGGGGA